TTGTCTAATATTTGAACGTTGTCCCAGTCGAATTGATGTCCGTGGTTGTCTGTGTGTAGTGAAATGAGGGAGTGTATATCATGTCTTTTGACGGCTAGCTTATGTTCGTGGATACGAAGACGAAGGGGACGTCCACTTTGGCCAATGTAGTGTTTTTCACAGTTGTTACAGTTTATTTTGTAGATGATGTTGGTTTTGTCTTCTTTTGCTGTTGAGTCTTTTGGTTGACATAGAATTGAGTGCAGCGACTTTGTTGGTTTGTGTACGACGTCAATTCCTAAAGGTTTGAAGAGTCTTTTAGTGATTTCTGAGATATCCTTTATATATGGTAAGGCGATTTTCTTTGTGTTTTCCTTGGTGGCTTTTGTTTTGGTAGGTTGGCTTGGGGGTATATGTTTCTTGATGAAATTCCGGGGATATCCATTCTTTTGGAAGACGTCCATGAGATACTTTTCTTCAATTTTTCTTAAGGTGGGAGTGCTGCAGTGAGTCCTTGCTCTCTTGAATTGTGTTTGTATGCAGTTCCTTTTGTGTGCTATTGGGTTGTTGCTGTTGTAATTCAGTATTTGGTCTGTGTGAGTTGATTTCCTATAAACTTGAGTTTCTAATTCTCCTGTAGTTGTTCGCCTGACTAAGACGTCCAAAAATGGTATTTTGTTCTCGGATTCCTCTTCTCTTGTGAATTTGATGTCGTTGAAGACGTTGTTTATTAAGTTGTGAGTTTTGTCTAATTCGTTTCTTTTGATTATTACAAATGTGTCGTCGACGTAGCGTATCCAAATCTTGGGTTTGATCTTTGGTAGAATTATGTTTTCGAGTCTTTGCATCACTGCTTCTGCAATCAAACCTGATATTGGCGATCCCATGGGTGTTCCTTTGACTTGTTCATATATTTGGCCGTTGAATTGGAAGTATGTTGTTAGGCATAGATTTATGCATTCCATCCAGCTTGTGTGTTGCATTTTTGATTGTTGTGGAAGTTGTTCGTCGTTGCTAAGTAATTGCTCCATGGTTTCTTTTGCTAGTTTTTGTCCGATAGAGGTATATAATGCTGTCACGTCGAAGGATACCATTATTTCTTGTTCATCTGTTTGGATGTCTCTGATTTTCTCTAGGAATTGGATAGCAGAGTTGATGGAGTGATCACAGGATTCCGTTAGGTGTCTTAGTTTTCTGTATAATTCCTTGGACAAATTATATGTTGGAGTTCCTGGGAGTGATACAATTGGTCGTAACGGGATATTTGCCTTGTGTATTTTGGGTCTGCCGTAGAATCGAGGTAGGACTGGTCCATTGGATTTCATTCGCCATTGGTCTTGTTTTGTGATCTGTCCAGTTTTGCTGAGCTTGTTTAAGGTCCTTTGGATGCGGTTGTCCAATGTTTGTATGGGATTTGTTGGGAGTTCTTGATATACATCTTCATCTTTGAGTAGTTCTTCAGCTTTCTTGGTGTATTCTTCTCTGTCCATGACTACTGTTGTTCTTCCTTTGTCGGCTGGTAAAATGACGATGTCCTTCCTATTTTTCAGCTTTTTGAGGGCCTTTAGTTCTTGAGAGTTGAGTTGTGTGTGTTGTCTTTTCTGTTTGACCATTGGTACACAGGTGTGCTGCGTAAATTGTTCTACGTATACTCCTTGAAAGTCTTTGGAATAGAATCTCACTTGATAAGTCACCATAAAGTTGTAACTTAATAAATATAGGTTTCTTATGTGCAGTGAGAGTCTCAGGCTTTTTCTCTGATGTTTTCATATGTTTCTTTATGAAACTACTCGCATAGCCCATCTCTGTCAAGGAATCGTGAATATATTCAAATTCCTTTTGTAAGACTCCATTATGGAGAGATCATCCGTACATATCTTCCTTGCTCTGTTCGCAAGACATTTTACAACTTTCCTTTTATATTTAATGGGCACGTGACTAAGGAAGTATGTGTATTGACCTGTGAATGTGCTTTTTCTGTACACACTTCTCCCAAGTGACCCATCTTCTCTCCTACTTAGCAAGATATCCAGGAAATGTAGTTTATTCTTCTGCTCCTCTTCACAAGTAAAGGTAAACGAAGGGTGGATGTTTTTGAATTTAATTAACAATTCGTCTATTTTAACATTCTCATCAGCTAAGGTAAATGTATCATCGACATATCGGCAATACATATCCAACTCCTTGATGTTATCCTTCAATTTCCCGTTTTCAAGTTTTGCGAGAAAGAAGTCAGCTAATATTAAGCCTAATGGTGAACTACCCATAGCTATTCTATCTACTTGTCGATAGTATGAATTATTGAAGACGAAGTGAGCATTCATTGTGCATTTAAGAAGTAATTCTTTGAGGCTATACAAGGGGATTCCTAAGTCTAATTGTCTATCGGTGATTTCTTGACAAATATAATCAACTGTTTCCATAAGCGGTACATTTGGTGAATAGTGATGATACATCCATGGATAACATGCGTTTATACCTCACATTAGTCTCGGATATTTTAGAAATAAAGTGAACTTATAATATATTGTAAACTTATACATATATATTGGAGTTAAGCCTGATAAGATCTAATTGAAAACAACAATATTGTTCGCTTAAATGTGTGTTGTTCTAAATTTTATTATGGGAATATTTAATATATAATGTAATTAATCATTTGTAAAAGTTTTATGTGGTTTGTTCATTTAAGTAAGAGAGAAGTAAGTAGGATCTGGTCATCTAGAAAAGATCTACTAGAAATCTCATTGAATTTTCTCGAATCTACGCAAATCATTTTGAAATAAGCAATCTTTATGTTTAGAGCAAAGAATAGTTGCCTTTTTTCGGTAATTTCCTCTTCTGGCTCTATAGTTTTTTTTATGAATATGTTTATATGCATAGAATATTCTAGAGTAGTAGTCAATGTCTATCTGTCTGTCTGTCTCTCTGTTTTCGACATAGATTTTTGCACCGATGTTCAATAATTCAAGGTGCCACACTGCCTCCTTGTAGCACACAAAGCAAGCGAAGAAAGTATAGGAAATGCAAAATGGAGATAGGAAGCAGAGTTGTGAGACAAAGAAATAGTCATGAGGAAAAACAATATAGTTTCATTGGAAATCATAAGTCACAAGGAGTGGATGCGTCTGCCGTAGTCATTGACAGCGATCACTTTAAGCCATATCACCGATTGTCTCCAGCCTCCATTGGTTTTTACCGTCCCGAGGACCCCAACCAGTCAGGAAGTCTACACCTTCCTACGTGGCTGTCTTAAACTAACTGTTGTGGATTTCATTGAATGATGAAGTCATGTTTTGGTTTGACCGCCGGTAGCTCTTTTCCAGTCTGACCCTATGTCAGCTAACATTGCCTGTCGGTCGAGTAAGGCGATGACTAGGCATACGTAACACATGTCCCAACCATCTCAGTCAGTCAGGGTTTTACTCTTGTGATTTATTGCAATAGTAGTCAATAACAATATCAGTGTTTTTTAAATAATATCGATTTGTAAAGTTAGAGCCCTCCTTACCTAGAACTCGACGCCTAATCTCAATATTGCTCACTTTATTATACCACTTCACACGGGAGATAGAGCGCAGGCACCTATGGTCAAAGACAACTAATGTCTTCCACTTTCAATGACCAGATCTCATAGCTAGCCTTAAAGGAGGACGGAGCTGACTGATGAGCAATACACCCACCCTTTGGTCGATAGCCAGATGTCATATCTGAGATGGAGTAAATTGGCATGTGTGAAACTGGCTTTCTGTATCTGTACTAAGATTTCTTCAGAGATCAGCTTGCTGGGGCTGATGCAACTTCCCAAATGAGTGAAGCGGTCAACGTGCTCTACCACTTCACTGCCTATTTCTAAGCTACGAGTAGGTCAGCGTAGTCCAGTCCTGTAACATCATCTTACATTTCGTGGGAGGAAATCGCATGCCAAACATTCGTAGATTGCAGCTCAATGTGTTCAGAAGACTCTGCATTTTGTTAGCGTCCTCGCCTAGATGGACTATATCGTCTGCATATTCTTAGTCAACGAGGTTATTCCCCGGTGGTAACAAGTCAATCCCTGAGTCGCTGAAGTCACTTAGGGTTAAGTCCATTAACATATCCATGATGAAGTTGAATAGAAAAGGGGATAATGGGCATCATTGACGGACACCACTGGTCGTCACCAGTTCAGATGACAACTCGCCGTAAGCCCTCACCTGGCTGTATGAGTACGAGTAGAGTGCCTTAATCAGTGCAATATATTTTCTCGGAATTCCCTTTACAGCCAAGCATCTCCAGAGAACTTCTCGATCGACAGAGTCGAATGCTGCCTTTAGGTCAAGAAATATAATGACTGTTGGACGCCGGTAGGAATGGCTATGTTCTAGAATCTGTCGGAGGGTGAAGATATGATCAATACACCCTCTTCCTGGTCTAAAGCCTGCCTGGCTCTCTCGTGTTTGTGCTTCCTGAGCACCACTCAGTCTACGCATGATTATTGAGCCTAGGACTTTAGATACTATATTAGTCAAGCTAATCCCTTTGTGATTATCACAGGAAGACTTGTCTCCCTTTTTGTATGTAGGGATAATCAGTGACTTACACCAACCCGATGGGACTTCTTCTGATTCCCAGGCGCTGTCTAGTACTTTAGTTAACACAGACAGTAAACTGTCTCCACCGTCCTTAAATACCTCTGGAGTTATTCCATCAGGTCCCGCTACTTTGCCTTGTTTCAGATTGGTGACAGCTTTAGTAACCTCAATTAGGGACGGAGGACCTGTGTCTATATCCCATTTAGGGAGGTGTTGGATGTTTCGCAGGTTGAGAGTGGCTGTGGGCCAATTAAACTGCTCCTCATAGTGCTCTTTCCAGTGATCTAGTCGTCTATCCTGCGAGCTAATTCCTCTACGTCCAATGTGATTCGCTAACTGCATTAATATAGGAGGAATAAAACAACACTGGCAGTTATTATACTCTAATAAATTTTGTTTACTTATATGCCTGCATATTGATTTTTGCTTGTTTGGTATTGATTATAGATGAATCGTCCAATAGACACTTTGACTGCATCAATCGCCAATGCATCTGTGTCCCCCGGTATGCAAAACTTATCCCAACCTTCTTCAGCTTTCCAGGTATGCCATTATCCTGTTGTATCAATTGCCAACGTCTTTCCTAAACTATCACAAGATGTTACATCAGAGAGTGCAAAATTAGTTCCTGTCGGTGTACCGAATACAGTCACCCTGCTCTTAGGTCAGAGTACAACACCACAAACATCAACTTATGCTATTCCTGCTTCAGTCTCTTCACATCCTAGTGTTGTTCCAATGCAAATTCCTGTATCTGTTGGAACACATTTAACTCCAGCGGTTAGTTGTCCATCACATCATACTAGTGGTGGTCCAGCCAAGCTAGTTGTGTCTGTAGCCTATCCAAATCAAGCTGTTGCTGCTGCTGCTGCCGCCGCCGCCAGTGTTATGCCGACAACATCAACTCAGTATATTTCACCAAATCCTGTGAATAATAGACAGACAGACAGACGCCTGTGATGCCTAATCATCAAATTTAAATTGTACATATAAACTTACAGTCGTCCCACATCAAACAAACAACGTGTACAAAATGATCTCAATTTATATTTATATATATATGTATAATTTCTTTGTAAATTCTTGATTTCTTCCGTACTTTCTCTCCCTCTTTCTTTCTTTCTTGTAGTTTGCTAACTTTAATTTGTCTGCTAATTTCTTAACACACTACTCCTTCTGTATGTATGTATATGTATACTATGGCTGTCTGGCTAATCAGTGTCTTCTTATCTTTTTTTAGTTGTACAGTATTATCTATTATTCTATAAGATAATGATTATTAGTATTAGTATTGCTATTATTATTATTATTACTTTCAAGTATTGGTTTTGTGGTCAGTTTTGTTTGATTGCTTGGTGGTTGGAGGAGATTTCATCATGAGCAGATATCAGTTGGAGCGAGCGAGAGAGAGAGAGAGAGAAGCATTGAAAAACCAGCCACAGAGGGAGTACTGCCAGACAGCTAGTTTTTTCGTCAGCCTAGTTTGGAATTGCCTTTTCATCATCATCACGGGGTTCGAACCCAAAGCCCTCTGGTTACATGGTGAGCTAGCTCGTAGACTATTAAGTCACACAGTGTTGTCATAATGTAATATTAACTGATGATTACGTTTCGAGCACAAATTATTGTCACCCATAATCATATCAAGACCTTTACTCACACAAATGTTTTCCTTCATTTATATACCTGTATGGAATTGACTAGATATTTGAATAAAAATCAATATAGGATAATGTACATTCAGAAATAATAATAATAATATGAGTGTTATTGATCAAATACAATCAGATGGGAAATAAGACCATATAAGGAGGGGATATCTGAGACCCTATGTAGGATTCTTAATAAAGCAGGAATTAGGCTAGTGGTGGCATTCAAACTCACTCAGGTAAGACAAACTCTATAGACTAAAAGACCCGGTGGGTTGACCCAATTCAACAAAATAATATAATTTTAAAAAATACCCTGCAATGACTGTCAGTGAGGTCAACTACATAAGTCAAACTATTAGGTTGGGGATAGTCAGATTGTCGAAATATAAGAATTTAGCTTAGGGTAAGAATGGTTGACCCCGCTGGCGAAGATAAGTAATTTAGAATAAAGCTCTGCATTGCACTTCATGCATGCATTGACACACAATAGGGTGGGGGAGGGTTAGAATTCTAAAAAGTAATCTATGTAGGCGGAAGGAGATTGATTACTGAGTCGTTCTTGGTTCATCGAGTCTACATTCAACACAACACATGCAACAGAACTGATTCAATGCAAATATCAGAGATATGCATGGAAGATATTATTACCACCAGTCAGTCAAATCAGAGGAGGATAGTTAATAATCTCAAAATTCAATTCATGTACATCACAACATTCTAACAAGTTACTTATTTCTTTTGACTATAAAAACACTCGTCTTATTTCCCATCTGATTGTATTTCATTGATAACACCCATATTATTATTATTTCTGAATGTACATTATCTCACATTGATTTTTATTCCATTATCTGGTCAATTCTACACATGTATATAAATGAAGCAAAATGTTGTGTGAGTAATGCCTTGATATGATTATGAGTGGGAATAATTTGTGCTTGAATGGTGGTCATCAGTTAGTATTACTGTAAAACAAACACTGTGTGATTTATCAAAATAAAATCTTATCTATAATCGAGTTATACTCTACCACCACAGTCCCCATTTTTATAACTGAATTCCTCAAATAATTTTTTCAATGAGCAGCTTTGTCCTATGATTGAGTTCAGGATCCTCAGTTAGTTCTTTTTTTACTGCTTCTAAGGCCATATTGACTGGTATATTAGTATAAAGACTAGTTATATCAGAACTAACCAATTTTTCATCATTCTCTAGTTGAATGTCGTTTAGTTTAATTTAGATAGGTGGAGAGAAAGGTTAATTACTGAATCCTTGTTCATTGAGTCTACACCAAATACATGCAATAGGAATGATTCATCACTCATACCCGAAATATGGAGCAAAACTACTACTACCAATCAAATCAAGTGAAAAAAACAATGGAACTATATAAATGAATTCAGGAAGTCGTGTGATTACCTTGATATGATTATGAGCAGCAATTAAATTGTGCTCGAAACGTGGTCATCACTGAACATTACTGTACCACACCACTGTGAAACTTTATCAAAACAAAAATATACCCATAATGGAATTATACTCTACCACAGTGCACAAGTTTTATTCTTATATCAATAATACTTATGGTCTTCTTACTAGGAAGCCTATCAACAAACTCACACGACTTTGTCAAACAAAAGCGAGATTCAAAAACCGTCGGATGTTTAAATAATCATATAATTCCGAAATATTAACGTCTACGTACTCCAGTTACTTCAAGCAAAAGAACATCAGCAATGAAAGACGTCAGCTAATTATGTCTTAAAGAAGAACTACATAGAATTATTATAAAGCTGGAGAATATAGGAAATGGGATTGAAAGACACAAACTCAAATGTATGCTAAATGATATAGATTATGAAATTGTGATTGAAACATCCAACATAGATAGCTAGAGAAGCATCCTTGAAGGAATCAAAAACCACGCAGCAAATTAAGAAGCTCAACAAATTATTAGAAGAAAAGAACGGCACAATAAACGAAAAATAGTTGACAACTATATTTCATCTTCTATTGACAAAACAAATTGGGTAATCAACCTCTCTCTCTCTTCAAGAGAATTAAGCTCTAGTGAAATAAATTTGCTTGAAAAGGCATTAAATTTCAATGTAACGGTTAACAAACTAAAACCCTAGCGTAGAAGTAGCATTAAGTTCAATAGATAAGACAACAGCAGAAGGCGTTCGAACTCAATGTACATTAACTCTTAAAAAGCAAAAAAAGCACAGTCAAACTTAGCAAAAACGGAAAGATAGGCTCTAATCAATCTTAAAAATGATAAAACCATCGTTATCAAAAACGCTGTTTTAGACAGATCTGATTATTTAAAGAAAGTAACTGGACACATTGAAACGGGTTTATTATGTGGAAATTAAGAAGCCTGTAGATACAGTAATGAATATCAAAATTTCTGGGTTTTAGTTGTTATGTAACGATCGAAGACAAAGACCAAACAAAAGATTGTTTATTGAGAAAATCAACAGATATTTATATATTTTTATGTGCATTATTATCCGTTATTATTAGCAGAGAAACAGCGTTTTCTGATTTTTTATTTTCTCACTGAAAGTTAATCTGTCATCTCTTTGTGGTCGTTTCTTTGAAGGTCAGATCGCCTATGTGCCTGTTGTATCCGCCCCCGCAAAGTCTGGTGTGATTGGTTGTTGAGTCAGTCCTTGTTCGTGTTTATTTCTCATGACCAAGATATGGGAAGTAAAGATTGATGTCAATTACTGTCTACCAGTTTTGGCTAGCAGACAGTTCTCACCACAGTTATATATATTCGTTTTACTACAACAGAATAATTTCAGATCATAATCTGAGAACCCCATGATTAAATGTCTAAATTAAACATTGACAATTACTTATATATTTCAATTAATTTTGTAATAATTAGCACATACCTTTAAAAGTATATTATCTGTATGTCATCGTCTAACTTTGAATATACTACCTATTCTTAATAGTCGTCGTCACATATTTCCGAATTCTCAGAATGTTCTTTTGCAAAGTATCTACTCCTTGTTCCGCAAATTTCCAAGCTTACTATAATGCTGAATTAAAAATCTCACTAATTTTAAACTAACTCTAACATTCTATAGTGATTAACTTTTGAATCTGGGCTGAATTAGGTTTCTTTAAGCGCACAGACTGGAACTCAGTGCTTGTTTTTCGGCATGAGTGGCACTAATTCAGCATCCTGTACTTTTTCTAGGCATTTTCATGGGTAGATTACAACCAACTGGGTTTGCTTATCAACGTAGTTCCAGCTATCACAGGACATATTTAGCATTGACTAGCAGTACTTCAGAACGAAAAGACTGCTACTACAATTTGTCATCATCTGTATCCTATGCTGGCGCAATTTTGAATTTATTCTACAATGTCACTGCAAATCCGTCAATTGACGTCCACTGGTAGCAAACTGTGAATAAGTAAAATATAAGACTATTTGACGAAAATTTGTGTTCCTCACATTTTCAGGATTTACATTTAGAAAAGTGTATAGTGGTAAATAATCCCCCAAAATTATTGACCACAGCACTCATCACTGAACATTCGATGCTGACCCTCACCGTTTGAGTCGATTTGTTTAGCTGAAGGCTTCCCGTCAATCATCCACGCCATTTGGTACTCCATCGTTTCACTTTCGTGCACGATAACTAGCTCGCTTAGCTTCCGCTTCAATCCACGATTTGGTTCCGAAATAAATCTCATAATTTGGACGATCAACTCCGGTGTTTTGCTTTGCCTTCGGTCTACGCGGGACGAATACTATAGAAATTGTGGGTATTAGATATTCCGTTAGTATACTTCGCACTATCCGTGAACGTCAATGCCTTCAGCCTCTAAAGGTGTAATTACCAAACTGTCACTGTTGGCTAGCCTGGCTTCATTTTTATTCGCCTAGGAATAAAAATCAATGTTGTGTTTACTATATGTTGAATAAACCGTAACTTATAAAATTAATAATGCGTTTCTCAATTTTACCTGAATTCCTATCTTCAGGTTACGCGTTCGGACACGATCTTCCAAATTGTGAAAATATGATTTCGTGGCCCTATCGATTATGTCACCACCCTGTGTCGACGACATCAGTTGGCCGGAAAAATACACCATAATTACATCTACAAAAATAAGTACTTCATTAATGAACCTTACATCTGTAGCGGTAAATAATTCCCCAAAATTATTGACCATAGGAATAATTATGTCTAAGAGAAGAATTACATCGTGACAATAGGAATCATCAGTGAACATTGTTTAGCTGAAGGCTTCCCGTCAATCATCCACGCCATTTGGTACTCC